TATTATTAGTGAAAATCAGCCTAAAATGCTAAAGATGATGTGTATGTATTATTTAGTTGTCTGAGGGTATGTCTAGACTACATGCCTTTGCCGACAGAGGCATGTAAATTAGACATACTGACATAGTTAATGAAGCGGAGATTTAGATATCCCCTGATTCCTTAGAATAAAAATGGCCACCGTGTTGTGCCAGTTCAGCTGTTTGTCGACGCAAAGCAGCAGTCAAAACGGGGATCGGTCGGCAAAGGCTTTCCTTGCCGACCGATCCCCGTCTTGACTGCCGCTTTGCACTGACAGATGAGCTGGCACAACGTGGTGGCCATGTTTATTCTAATGAAGTGGGGGATATTTAAATCCCTGCTTCATTGACTATGTTGGTGTGTCTAATTTACATGCCTCTGTCGGCAGAGGCATGTAGTCTAGACATACCTAAATATGCAGTACAGGCAGTCCTCGGGTTACTTACAAGTTAGGGACTGTAGGTTTGTTCTTAAGTTGAATTTGTATGTAAGTCGGAACTGGTACATATTGTAGGGGAAACTCTAGCCAAACATTTCTCCAGAGCTCAGTTTTATTCTCCCACACCTCACTTCCCTCAGTCCTTTATTCTCAAGCTAAGGTGTCTGCTGAGAAAAGCCGCTCTGCGTCTCCCTGGTCTGCTGGGGGAGGGGGCGCTAGCTTCGTGTCTCCCTGGTCTGCTGGGGGGAAGCAGCTAGTGCGGGGTTGCCTCACCCCGTTTGTAAGTAGGGATCCGATGTAAGTCGGATCCGTGTAACCCGGGGACTGCCTGTATAGAAGAAATGCTATTGTATATATTTATATTATAGAAGTCTCTTAGTGGAGAGGGTTCAGAGAAGAGGAGTATATCCCCAAAACATCTTGCAGTCACTCAAAGCACTACACTACCACTTATGCCGGTGTAACTTATGTCACTCTTAAGGGATGGAACATTCACACCCCTGAGCAACTTAAGTTTTGCCATCATAGGTGGTGGTGTAGACATGGCAACAGTTGTAGTGCATCATGCTGTATTAAAAACTATAGACTGGATTCAGGCAAGCATTCTTATCTAGGCCAGCACTTCAACTTATGTTGAAGTTAAGTTAATGACACTTGTTTAAAGTTAAAGTTCTTTCTTCAGTTGGGGACGCAGTATGATTTTTTGCATATATTTAGGTATTTTTTTTTAAGATCGGGGTCTGTCAAATTTGAGTAGGAGATGATGTTTTAACCTCCCTCATGCTGCTATGCTGTAACAACTCGTGGTATGTAGGCACAGCATAGAATAGTGTGTCGGCACGCAGAATGAATACCTTTTACTTCTGTGTTTTCAGCTTTTGGCAAAAAAATAAAAACTTCTGTAATGTTTTATATAACCTTGGTTTGAGAATTATATAAATATAACTGAACAGACAATATCCAGATATTGATGCATCTGTTTCAGTCATCATTTCATGACATTTAGCCAGATATGGGTTATTCCATCTTCACTGGGGCTAAAAATTGCCAGATAAATCTTAGCAGCTATCAAAGGTCTAATACAAAAGTAGATGGTAATTCAGAGGATTTTAGATTTTCTATTTTAAGTGATTGCTTTAGTCACGGTTTAGTTTTTAAATCACTGTTCAAATCCTCCATGTGCACAATTACTGAGTAATGCAGCCCAAGGCTCATAACTACTTAGTGTGTCCATTTTCCAGTAGTAATCATATAATTACATTTCATAGATACTCTGATGGAAATGCTGCTTGTAAGAAGTGAAAGGTAATGAAATAAAACATTGTTTACTAAAGTACATCTTGACTATTCAAACACTGATAGAGACTTCATGTTCCCCTCTGTAGATATATTTATGTATTTGAATGAACTCTGGCCAAAATATTCAGATGTAGTTGAAGCTCTCTGGTCTGGCATTCTTTGGTCTGGCAACATCCATGGTCCAACATGATTCTAGTTAATTGTATGGCCACTTATCTTGGATGAGGCAAAGTTGCCTCGTAGTTTCATAAAGTTTGTTTACAGCTACCAGTCCTGGCTCTCAGTGTTCTGTGCTGTTGTTTAGCTCTAATTTACCCTTAAATGTCTTCTAAGAAATGAGTAACCAGTGAAAATGCTGGTAATGCTGCTAGATAATATCGACCTCCTATAGTTTGGCAAATTCTCTGGTTCGGCAGGCACCGTTTAGATCCCGATGGTGCTGGATCAGAGAGGTTCAATCTGTACCTAATGGTAGGGATTTAAAGCCATGTTTAGGTTTGTAATGACATCACTAGATTATTTGGTACTGAACAGCAACAGATTATTCAGTGTGAGCTCTGAGTACTCAGCACTTCTGAAAATGTGCTAAGCACCCAAGTCCCTGCACAGAGGCAGATTCAGAGGCCTGAAGGGACCATTGTGATCATCTGATCTAACCTGTATATCACACATGCCACAAAACTTGTCAACAATAATTCCTAGAGCATATTTGCTAAAAAAACATTCAAGCTTTCTTTAAAAATGGTAAGTGATAGAATGTAATGCTCACACAACAATATCAAGCTGTGATAACGTATATATTAAATAGCCAAGTTACAGACTTTCAGTAGGGATATACATAGAGTATATATAAAGGCCTGAGGCAATGGTTCTCTTGTTTTCTGTACTGACACCCCATGCTGCAATAGAGAAATGTTTGGGGATCCCTCCATGGCGTATTTTGGCTAAAGATGTGATTCCCTTGCTTGTCTATGCAGACTCACACTAGCTCTCATCAAGCTAGTGCAAGTCTACATTGCAGCATAAACTCTGTAGCATGAGTAACGGTAGCTGAGGCATGGTTTAGGCCTGCTACATACAAACCTGGCAAGCTAAAAACAGTAGTGTAGCTCCTCCAGCCAACATAGCTACCTCCACTCATTGGGGGTGGTTTAATTATGTCTATGGGAGAGTACTCCCCCAACAACATCGAGTTGCTAGAGGAAAGATCTTACAGCGGCACAGCTGTGTCAGTACAGGTCTCTAGAGTTGACATAGTTTTAGTATTTAGTTCTTGCACAATGAAAGCCTTCTGTTTAATAACAGAGACTTTGTGTTGTGCTCCTAAGTAATAGGCACTTGAGGAAACTTCAGGGTAATGGAGACATTTGCCCTAGGGATGTTGAATATTGGTTAATTGAATAGTCAGTTAACCTCCTGAATTTATATTGGTTACTCGACTATTCTACAGTCCCTGCAGGTGGGGCCGGCAGCCAGTGTGTTCCGGCCCCACTCCTGAGAAGCCCCCTGCCACTCTGTGCTGCTGCTTCTGTATCAGAGAGGCAGAGCGTGGGGTGCCACGTTGGGAGCTGGTCCTCAAGGGCAGCCAGTTTAAAAACCAGCTCCCCTCATGGACTGGCTGCCTGTCTCCCCGTGTTATGGCCTCTGATACAGAGCCAGCAGCATGGGGTGGCAACAGTCCCTCACTGGGGGGGGGGAGGGCAGGATCTGAACTCCCAGTCCCAGCGTGAACTGGAACTGAGCTGCACTGCCTTCCCGCCTGGCTCTCAATACACTTTAAATGCAGAGACGCAGCAGTGGTAGATCCTGGACTTGGCACAAGCTGGGACTGAGCCTGGCTGCTGGCCAGCCTGCTAAAAAATTTACTGGTGGGGGAAGGAATGCGTGTAATCTATAGCATTAACCGATAAGCTTTTGCTTATTGTGCTTATTGGTTAATTGACTACACTATTACATCCCTAGTTCTCCCTGACCAGTTTCAGCATTTACACAGCAGTTCAGTGAGTTTATAAATACTTCCCTGGCAGTGACAGTCTCTAGACTGCCTGAGGACAGGCCATATAAATGATTTCGTTTGTGGGTTTGGAGATTCAGGTCAACCTTGTTGGTGGTGTGATCACCTTATGCCTTTCAAACTGGAAATTATTTCATACCTACCTCAGTAGCAGTGATTATCTGTTTATTTTTTCCCAGTAATTAATTAAATTTCCAGTAATTAATTGATCTGGGGGACTGTAGATACTTACTATACTATACTTTATGCGGTGCATATTTGTAAGTACAAGTAGAATGCTGATCAACTGTTAGAGAGAGATCTCAACTTCCTTGCCCCTCTTCTGAAACTCTGTAGTTGTTTCTTGTGCTTGGAGTCTGTTGGGAATTTTCCATCTCTTTTATCACAAGTAATCTTCCTCATGGTAAGATGGGGAGAGCCATTTTAATACAACATTCGTTTTGACTGTTTGGATTGACACCCATTGGGTTTGCTATAAAATAGTTTTGAAGCATATTTGCTGCTTAATACATTGAAGTATCAATACTGATTTACACAAGTATGACATCGTTCAGCCAAGTGTTTCAATTTCTCAGGGTATGTCCAAAGAGAGTACCAAGGGCTCCATTGTGAGCTGAAGGACATGCTCGCACAAAGGTATAAGATGCCAGTGCTACTCACATCACATCTCTGTACTTAAGAGGAAAGCAGCTGGCATTGGCTTGCAACTCCTCCTCCTCTCATTTTATTCTGCTCCTCCGCAGCACACCATCAGTGCAGCTGAGCTGGATTGGAAGTAAATAAGCTAGATCAGGAAAAAAAGCTAACTTTCCCCTCTGGAAAGTGGGGATGCATCACTAAATTGTGCCTGCAAGTCTTGCAAATTGCAAGGTGCCAAACCAATCAACCTTATGTTATTTATTAGTCACCACTTTCTAATTACTGTTTATTCTGATAATATTTTGACTGTTTCATCAAGTTCACCTATTCAGTGTCCATATAATTATGATGCTAAAACAAATAACTCTGTCCCCTTTCAGCTTCAAGAGCTGGTTGCCTTGTCAGTATGTACATATCTGTTATAGTAAAAGCTTTTTTTTTCTGTTTAGAAAGAAATTATAGTTTACAATTAATTCCTTCAGCATTGGATTTTTTTTTTTTTTGGACAAAAGGTATTTCAAGTTAATATTAGAAAATGTAGGTAACCTTGCATAATTTCATAATATGTGAATTCACTTTATCTTTCTAGGTATGAATGCTGCAGTACGTGCAGTAGTGCGTATGGGAATCTACGTGGAAGCTAAAGTATATTTTATTTATGAGGTTAGTTTTCCTATTGTATTCATTCTGTATTTGATTTTTGAATGTGTTTGCCCCTTATTTGTGTGGAAAATTCCCATGGACTTTAATGTTGTAAGACTGTAAATGTTACACGTAGTGTTCTTTGTCATCACACCAAAAGCCTTTTTTACCCATGAAAGGCTATTTATCTAGTAATGGCCAAAGGATGATTTTCTTATTAAAATGGAAGTTTGATTTTTGGTTCCAGACCTTTTTTTCCATACAGCAAGGGGTTGGGAATACAGGCAGTCCCCGGGTTACGTACAAGATAGGGACTGTAGGTTTGTTCTTAAGTTGAATTTGTATGTAAGTCGGAACTGGTACATATTGTAGGGGAAACTCTAGCCAAACATTTCTCCAGAGCTCAGTTTTATTCTCCCACACCTCACTTCCCTCAGTCCTTTATTCTCAAGCTAAGGTGTCTGCTGAGAAAAGCCGCTCCGCGTCTCCTTGGTCTGTTGGGGAGGGGGCGCTAGCTTCGCGTCTCTCTGGTCTGCTGGGGGGAAGCAGCTAGTGTGGGGTTGCCTCACCCCGTTTGTAAGTAGGGATCCGATGTAAGTCGGATCCATGTAACCCGGGGACTGCCTGTACTGAGAAGACTTAGCTGTGGTGGTTGACGTGATCAGGTCTTGCATTATACAACAATGATTTGTCTGTCTATACCTGAATACCTTCTGTAAGGTATTTATCTAGCCGTCCCTCCCTCATCTTACTATAGTATCTGAGCTCCCTTCAGCCTATGATTTATTTATTTTCACAATATTCTTGTGAGGTAGGAAAACAGTATTATTCCCAGTTTACAGATGGGGAAGCGAGATGCAGAGAGATTACATGACAAGAGTAGTCTGCAGCTACTGCTATAGCTAGTGGACAGTCTCTCATTCTGTAAGTTAAGGGGAGGAGTTGACAGGCTACAAAATTAAGTCCGATCCACTTCTTTCCAAACATCAGAAATATTGTATCTATGATTAATGTATGGCATATGGAAATTTGAAAGACATATATTTGTACATCTAAAAGAGATGCAATGTTATGGGAAAACTATCAGTACTGTACTTTGATTTAATAGATGCATTTTTCCTTTGAAGTATGTGAATATTGGTATACAGTACATATTTTAAACAAATGACCCGTTTGTATTATATGTTGGAATTACATCTCTTCTCCTTCAGAAGCTTTTAGTTATTAAAGTAAAGCAATCATGGGATAACATGAATGTCCCTCTCATGGATCAGTGATTGCTTAAAAGACATAAAACAAATGGTAGGAATAATTGGTCAGTTTCAGAATGGACGGAGATAAATAATTGTATATCTTAGGGATCTGTACTTGGAGCCGTGTTGTTTAACATATTCATAAATGATCTGGAAAAGGAGGTAATCACTGAGGTAGAAAAATTTGCAAATATTCAAAATTATTCAAGATCGTTATACTCAAAGTCAATTACAAAGAGTTACAGACTCACAAAACTGAATGATTGGGCAATAAAATGGAAGATAAAATTCAGTGTTGATGAATGCAAAGTAATGCACATTGGAAAACATACGCCCAACTATCCATAGAAAATGATGGGGGCTGTAAATTAGCTGTTACCACTCAAGAAAGAGATCTAGGAGTCATTGTGGATAGTTCTCAGAAAACATCCATGGAATGTGCTACAGCAATTAAAAAAAGCTAATAGAATGTAAGAAACTATTAGAAAAGGGATAGATGAGTGGTTTTCAACTTTGGAGGTGTTAGACCCCTTAGGAAATCTGTTGTCTGTATACATAGTTGTATTCTCTTCAGTCTGTTTTCTACTGAACCCTTAGACATAGTCCATGAACCCCTGGGGAAGTCCACAGAACAAAGGTTGAAAACCACTGGGATAGATTAAAAAACCAACAATATCATAATTTTATATAAATTCATGGCTTGAATGCAGTTCTGGTCACCTCATTTCAAAAACGTATGAATTGGAAAAGATGGACAACAAAATGCATATGAGTATGGGTGAGCTTCCATATGAGGAGATATTAAAAAGACCGGAATTCATTGGCAAAGGGTATTACAAATGCCAAGCTTACAACAGGATTAAAAAACTAACTAGATAAGTTCATCACGAAGATGAGGTCCATCAGTGGCTGTTAGTCAAGATGATCAGGGATGTCACCCTGTGCACCTGCTTTTCCTAGCCTCTGATTTCCAGAAACTGGGAGCGTGTGGCAGGGGATGGATCGCTTGACAATTGCCTGTTCTGGTTATTCCCTCTGGAGCACTGGGGAGATTCCAGGGGGACCACAAGCAGATTTCAGGGAGTCCAACAATTAGGCTAAAACTAGGCCAAAATGTGGGATGCAATTCTGATAATTAAAGGTCATTTTAATGTCATATAAACCAAACCTAATCATAGAAGTGCTAGAAAACACAGCGTTTGCTAGTTTGTCACACTGTTTGTATTTTTAAACTCGATTATTTTTTGTTTGTGTTTGTTTTTTAACTTCAACTATTCTTAATGCTAGACATGTTAATCTGTAAAAGTTACTTGGTGTAAAAACACATTTGCTGAAGTTTGTATGGTGACATAACCACCAGGTAGTATGTGCTTCAAAATAGTATGTATAAATTGTTTATTCAATAGTTTGTGGCAGTTTTAAAATGGATATTTTAGGCTAAGAAGAAAAATACCGATGGCTATTTGAAAAACAACCATCAAGCAAATTTTGTTCTATTCGACATTTTAAAGTTTTGTTTCAAAATGCCAAAATTAATTCAGCTAAGTTATGAAATGTGATGAAGGCCATCCTGAGGCTAAATGTGGTAAAAGCTTTCCACAATTTTAGCTTGTGAGAAAGACATCCAAAATAACTTTTTATCCTGCTCTCCTCCTCCCCTCCCTCAAAATCTCTCTCTTGTCAGACAGTCTACAAATTAGCTGTGAGTTGGAAGAGAATTCGAGGAATTGGCAAGCTGAGCACACCAAGTATTCAGGAGCTGGTTGTTGTGGCAGCACAACACAAAAGATTTCTGGAGCATCGTGCCCTGCTTATTTGCATACCAGTACTTGTTTTGTCCTGGGAAAATATTAATTCTACCCTGCACTCCCTGACTCCCCCATGCTTCGAAATTAATATGTCTGCAATCTGCATGGTTTGCTACCCCTATTGTATGACTTAGTCGATGACTGGCAGTGAAATCCTACTGGATTGGGTCTTGCATCATGATGATGGGGGAGGTGAGTGTGGATAGTTGTGGGGTTTGAAGCCTTAGGGACAAATCCTTGGGTGCAGTTAAAATATACTGAATGTAAGTCAAAGAGTAGTGTGCAAAGATGGCTTAAAGCGCCTGTGTTACTGCCCTGCTGCCTCGGTGCATGGACTCTGCCCTGTGGTAGGGTAGTATGAAGTGTTCTCTTACTCATGCCAGGCTGCAGTGGTCATAAGGCAGTGGTCTCCAACCTTTTTACACCCACATCACTTTTTAAATGTCAAGGTAAGCCAAGATCTACTCCATCTCTTCCCCAGGATCCTACCCCTTCCTTGAGGCCCGCCCTCTCCATTCCCCTCCTCTCCATCACTTGCTGTCCCCAGCCTTTACTCACTCTCCCTGGGTTGAGACAGGAGGTGCAGGCTCTGAGGTGGGAATGAGGGATTTGGGTGTGGGAAGGGGTGAGAGGTACAAGCTCTGGGAGGGAATTTGGATACAGGAGAAGGTGGAGAAGGAGATGCTGGCTCAGGGAGGGGGCTCCAAACTGAGGAGTGTTGAGGTCAGGTGGAGGGTTAGGGAGCTGAGCAAGTTGCAGACTTGTGGATATTGGTGTGTAGAAGTTTAGGCTGGGCTGTATGAGGGGCTAAGGGCACAGGTTCGCAGTGTGTTGGTGGTGCAGGCGTGTTGTGGCACAACACTGGAGATGTGGGTGGTGCAGGAGTTTGAGGATGTGGGGGGCTCAGGGCAGGGTTCAGGTGTATGATGGGCTCAGGGTTGGGGTGTGTGTGATGTGCAGGGGTGTTATGGTGCTGTGGCCAAATGGGGGCTTGACCCCAATTGGGGGCTTGTTGGCCAGGCTTCATTTTTAAATAAAATATTATGTTGAACACAAAATGTTTCAACATTGTCTGTCTTTATTGGAGGGGTGAGGGATGGGGAACCTTTTTTGGGTCAAGGGGCCAGTGACACACAGAAAAATCAGTTGGGGACCACACAAGTGAGATGCAAAAAACCAACCCCTCCAGAACCCCAAAGGCCTCATTGATGTGGCCCCAACTGAGATACCTCACTCCTCTGGCACTCCAGCCCCATGGAGAGATAGGTAGGACCTGGGGATTGTAGTGGATGAGAAGCTGGATATGAGTTAACAGTGTGCTTTTATAGCCAAGAAGGCTAATGGCATATTAGGTTGCATTAGGAGGAGCATTGCCAGCAGATTTAGAGAAGTGATTATTCCCCTTTATTCGGCTGTGATGAGGCCATATCTGTAGTATTGTGTCCAATTCTGGGCCGCCCGCTATAGAAAGGATGTGGATTCACTCCTCTGGCACTCCAGCCCCATGGAGAGATAGGTAGCTGGATATGAGTTAACAGCGTGCCCTTGTAACCAAGAAGGCTAATGGCATATTAGGTTGCATTAGGAGGAGCATTGCCAGCAGATTTAGAGAAGTGATTATTCCCCTTTATTCGGCTGTGATGAGGCCATATCTGTAGTATTGTGTCCAATTCTGGGCCGCCCGCTATAGAAAGGATGTGGATATTGGAGAGGGTCCAGAAGAGGGCAACCAAAATGATTAGGGGGCTGGAACACATGACCTATGAGGAGAGGCTGAGGGATTTGGTTTTATTTAATCTGCAGAAGAGAAGAGTGAGGGAGAATTTGATAGCAGCCTTCAATTTCCTGAAGGGAGGTGCCAAAGAGGATGGAGAGAGGCTGTTCACAGTAGTGATGGATGGCAGAACAAAGAGCAGTGGCCTCAAGTTACAGTAGGAGAGGTCTAGGTTGGACATTAGGA